TAAAAAATTTAATAAAATTGAAAAAGGAGTGTCAAAGTAAGTTGTTTGAATTACTATTTTTGTAGCAAGTTCTCATGGTTTTTACAGGTTAATTGCATCGAGTCTTTTTTATATGAAAGCATTTTATGTATTAATTCAGAGCCTAAAGTACGCTAGTTGTCCAGTCTTTATCTTTAACTGTTAAATATTTTAGCCTCACGATCTGTGTGAAATTAAGACAAGATTCTAAATTCTTATTCATGTAACTGATGACAAAATATACAATTTAAAACCTCAGTCAAAATAATGAAAAACAAGCAATCCTTGATACAGTCCTAACTTGTCACTGGACAGTTTCGTATTTTGACCCCAATTTATAAGGTAAAGGGCATGAGCCTCGGTTTTATAAATTCACACAGAAACTAAACCTGCAATTTAGTTTACATTTACTTTAGAGTTATGTTTGAAAATGGGCTGGTTTGTTTGGTGACTGACTGTCACAGTTAGGATCTCCATCCAATGCGTAACTTCGGATTCAAATTACCAGTCGACTGGATTTACGTATTTATATATGTACAATAAAGCGGTAAATATTACAAATTGAGATGGATAAGAGATCATTCTAAGCATGCCAATTTGTTATAATGCCATTGAAATTTAAACATTCACGAGGTCCATAATGATTGTCTGGACCGCCTTGTCACATGAAAATGTTCTAAATAGCTCTCTACTGTCAAAAATAGACCATAAAGAGAGGGGTTTGCGGTCAAGTATTGGTTTAGTGTAAATGTTATCAGTTTTACAAGGAATTGACACGAATACCGTAATGAAAATCTGAAGAGCATGAATTCCATTAAAAAATCATTGGTTAGTTTTTTTTTATTTGTATCGTTAAGGCGGATATATTCCTTTTTTTCTGCAAAATTTCTTTCTTCGATGAAAATTCACCAAAAACAATTTATTTGTCCAATGAGACCTTAATAATGAAACACAGAAAAACCGAAATACATTCACAATTTATTTAACTGATATATCTTGTATAAAACATTAACTTTACTAAGACCAGATTCGTTCAAGGATACGCTAACCTCCCATTTTTGCATATTTAGAGGACTGAAGATAATATTAACGATCAGGAATCCTCTTCTTTCTTAATTTTAATTGAGAAACATCAATAACCTAATAAAGACCCAACAGTACAAATACTGAAAAGCCATTTTGTATTCATCCTTGAAGTAGTAGATACCGGCCCACAACTGTGCAAATATACATCAAGAGACATTCTAGCAAATGGAAATTTTTAAAATATTTAAATCACATGAATAAATAGTGGCTGTATATCATATATAGTCGCCACATCGTTACATTTCTTGGTGGGGAAGACCAGATATACCGCAAAATGGCGTTCCTTATGCAAATGGTCGGACTTTTGAGGAATGTATTAAATGTTAAGATACACATCAACATAATTAGACTCATTCTTGCTCGCGGGGATGTCTGAGATGTTGCGTTTGTATGCGTACAGTCCAATCCACGTCACCAACCAGCTCTTTCGATACCCCTTCGACACTTGCTTTACTTTTGAAAGAAATAGAAACACTTGCGAAAACGTGCACCGGCATAAAATGGTGACGATAAAAAGGTGAGTAAAAGGTGTACTCTGAATATAATTTACCTCATCGATATCTCCCTTGTAGTAGTTTTCAAAGGCGTTGGTCACTGGTCGCCCAATGATGATACCGGACTGACGCTGCCCTACGAGTCCTGTAACAAATATAGTCGGCATCAGTTTGGCGATCAACAAGAAAATGTTGTAATAAAGCATGGATAATTTTAGTAGCTTAAAACAGTTTTAACGAGGACTCAATGTAATAGACAGCTGCTATAATTTAAGATTAGAAAGAAAGTAGCGGCATTCTTTGTCCAACTTAAAATTTACAGCTCGAAGCGAATTTGTCGAGCATTTGCTGTATTAAACTCGCTGCAAAGGGAACATATTCTTAGTGTCAACGACAAATTATACTAAGTGGCACGTGCCTATGTTGAAAATAATTTTAAAGAATCTGCATGCATATACATTCGGCAGTCGCCGCTAAATGCCCGTTACATGGTTATATACGGTCCAATTTTATGGTGAGATTTTGACTGAAATGAACAGGAACAGTACAAAAGCTGTCTTTGCGGACTCGGTTCGCAATTATTACTTCCGGTTTAGTACACACGAATGTTGTTGTTGGGCTTAACGCCATTTTTCAGCACACGATAGGCTATTCATGGCGGCCAGTATTAATGGTGGAGGAAGAAACCGGAAATCACGGGAAAGAACCACAGACCCACGAGAAGCTACTGGCAAGCTTTCTCACATCCAACACACGAATGTAGTTCCAGTCTAATTGGTAGAACATACTTCCTTTCTAATGTTGACAATATAAGAAGTTTCAGCAATCTTGATATTTATTTTAATGGTAATTGTTAATTCTTTAGAATATGACCATTACGGTGTATCTGTCTGTCTACTTTGGCGACCGTGCACAGCGATTAATGAATCTTTGATGTTGGTCCGGAAGTGAAATCATTGACCCATTGCATATTGCTTTGTTGACAGTCCGGCTTTCAAAAAATGCCTCATAACATATGACAAGAACTTCACCACAAGTTCATCTTTTAAGGTATTTTAGCGAAACATGTGAATTATAAGTTAAATATAATTATAAGAGTTGGCCACTGTAAAATTTCGTACAGAGAAATAAATGTAGGAACCGTATAGGCAAAATATTCGTGATCCGAGTACATGCAGGTCAAGGAGACTCTAAACGTAGATTGATTATATGAACTTGACCTTTATAGGGAAAAGAACTATAGTTTATAAGAGTAAGTGTCACACGTTGGTTAACAAGTACTAGGCTTCGGTCTAAGAAGAATTTCTGTTAATTAGAGACATGGAAGTAATTTCAGGAGGGAGAGAATTAAGATGAAAGGCAGTTGTTCTCACTGTCAATGAAGAAACTCCGCTAGAACCATGGATAAGAGTTTTCTTTTAAGTATAAAGAGAATAATTAATTCATCCCATGATCTGTTGTTGTAAATGTGGTTTTTGTAAACTTGTATTTAAGTGACTGACGCTTTTGCATGCACGTTTCATTAACAGGGAATCAGATTATGCTGTAACTTTGCCCATTTACCAATATGCAAGGATAAACGAGTTGTCTGACTGTATTCAACCGACGAACTAGGTTACTCGATCATTCACTAAACTTTACTTTATTGCTCGAAACAGTTCTGATCTATCAATAGGCTGCACACGCAAGTTTCAAATACTATTTATTGACTCGGATACGATTACATTTTGGTGGCACTCTTACGCTTTCGTATTTTACAATGGCCGTCCTATTTATTGTTAACAGGACTTTTAAGTCCCTTTATTGGCTATCTGACTGATGGGATTACATTGGGTTGAAGAGCATATGACTATTTTACTTCAGATGTACACCCATCCAAAAAATTGCCAGTCCCGATCGGTCACTTTTGCTTGCTGGACTTTCGATGAAAATTGCAAAAAGATTCCAGACATTTTTACATTTGATATATTTTGTAATTCATGCATTGCACCTTTGAAAGCTGTTGTTGCCTATTATGGCAAAATTCGTTTTCCTTATTGTAATGGTCAGGATTTGATTTGTTTCGAATTACGTTAATTGATCGTAAACCTCTAGGTGGTAAATTAGGGCGAAAGTAGTTCTAATACTACTTATATTTTGTGAACGGAATGACAACATTGTAGCTAGTGGATGTGTGTTGTCAATACTTACGGCCAATATTTATTTTTAATATCTACAGTTATCCATTACAAACGATGATTGGTATGATCTCCAGGAATATTTCATATTCGCACACAAATTGATGAAAGATCAACTTTTAAATTATTTAATACCATGATGTTATTATGCCGGGAATGTATTGATAACTATCATGGGTATCAGCCACGTTTCAAGCTTTAACACATTTGGAATACTCTCGTGGTCATACCACTTACGGTATTGCCTATTTTAAGCAGAAGCATTTTTATATAGCAAACTTTGATTATTTAAACAAGTATTCATTGTGTGCACACTTAGCTAATATTCTAGGTAAAAGTTATTAAGCAAAATTAAGAATGAAAAGTGGTTTATTGTTTGCGGTAGCCAAGTACGGTTGCCCCTAATCGTACACTCGCAGAATTTTCCCTATGGTTGCTTCAAAGCGAAAAACAGAATTTTCCCTGCAAAGCGGTGAATTCCGCAGAAAGTATTAAAGGTCTGTTCTGGGACCTATTCGGGTTACCAAGGATCGTATTGAGAGTTGTGTGTGGGAAAATCTTCATAATATTTTACTACGAAGTTCTCAAAAGCAGCGTGTAAAGAAAATCTAACTCATTGTTTATCATTTTCCCGCGAATCAGATATGTACAGTCATTCCACAATGTCTTTGCAAATAAATGCCAGTAAAAATAAAGCTTTTCTTAGTAAATATTGGACAGGACTGAAGCTAAATTTTGAAATCTATATATAAAAATAAACTTTCTGGGTATTTATTTATTCATATTGTGTGTACTAAAACAGGATTTTTAACAAATATTTGATTATTTAGTAAACTTGTAATCAAAATTTATTTTCATGAGGTCAAGTGATTCTTGCAAACCTTAGTAAAATAATACTTCTGTTTAATAATAATAATAATAATAATAATAATAATAATAATAATAATAATAATAATAATAATAATAATAATAATAATAACGTGTGTGTGTGTGATTTGAATTTTTAACGTAGCTTTTAATTATTTTTCAGTTATATTGCTACGATGTCTGCAGTGCGACAGTTTATAGTGATCTCTAGCACTGGAGCATCATGTCGCAGACATGTACAATGATGTCTCATCCAGTCACATTATCCTGACACCAGGCCAACCAGACTTAACTCTAATATCTTAATGCTGAGCGCCAAGCGAGGCAGCTGTTAGTACCATTTTTTAAGTCTTTGGTATGACTCGGCCTGGGATCGAACCCACTATCTCCCGCATTTGAGGCGGACGCTCTGACTATTAGGCCACCGGAGCGGTCGAATAATAATAATAATAATAATAATAATAATAATAATAATAATAATAATAATAATAATAATAATAATAATAATAATAATAATAATAATAAATATCATCATCATCAGTGCAAAAATGAGTAATGAGTATCGATCAAATGAGTGTTTATCAAAGCTATTTCCAAAATTTATTTATTATATTGCAAAGCTATAGAGTATTTCTCAAGGCGTTTTTTTCAAATGCTGTTAGTTATCATTGTTACAGCCATTGAGTGTTTCTGGAGGATCCGTTTGAAGTTAACCCTTATGAATGTAATTAAATCTTGCCCAGTGTTTCCAAGTCTAGCAATAAATAATAGATACATATAAAATCCGAACATTAAAAACTTTGATATTTGTTTAATGTCTTTTTTGTAAACTTTATCATAATGAACTGTTAACTATAATGATTGTCTAATTGCATTTGGAAGTGTTTAAGTAAACTTTATCATAATAATCTGTCAACTATATTACGTTTGTATAACTGCACTCTACCAATGTGATATTAAATCAATGCTTTAATATCTAGAAGTGATAAACCTGATAATTCAATCTTGAAATTTTACTCCTTTATGATTTTGCGACTTAATAATTCATACGAAACATAAATATGAACCTGCTTTTTATCCCTTGTCTTATTCTTATAGTAAGGATTCCACACCTCATCAGACCTTTCGGAGTTAAGGTTCAAGTTTAATTGGACCCTTATTCTATGGAGTTTATCGGCCACATAAAGCATAGTGAGTCATTGAATGGTCACCAAATTAACGGCCAGTACCATCTCGTAACACTGTTTTAAGAAATGTCAGTGTACTAATTTAGGTTGATTTTTCGAGAACAATGGGGCAGCCGTTTTGGTTAGCTGCGTATTTAGATCATGTACAATTTTCACCAAGCACAACATCCAGAGACATTTTAGCTTACAGTAGATGAAAGTAACACAGCGGTATTATAATTTTTTTCTCGACTTCACCTTACAACTGTCACACTCTGAATAGTACATAACATTTGTACAACGTTCCTAATTCGAAATACTGTGCAAAGTTAAATGACGGAATGATGACGGATATTTGTTTTACACGTTTTCAATGTAATTTGTTTTCCTAATATCAACTTCACTTTTTTTTGGTCTCTGTCTTCATTCAGCGATTGCATCGAATTAGCTATGTGGCATATTTCTTGTACAAAAACACATTGTTTTCAATCAATTTGTAAGTGTGTAATTCCCAGACTCTAGCGTTTAGTTGATTTCATTATTTGCACTACAATTTTTAAATATATTCCCAATGAGTAAAATAACTCCATAAAATCCGTGAGTACATGTTCTTTTTATGATAATACACACAATCAAGTTCGTTTTAGCAAGCTAGGCCCTAAAAAGCACCGATGTGTATTTAGGATTGAAGGACTACCTGATCGAATAACTTTCTGTAACTGTTCTGAACTTCAACTTTAAATTTCCAAATTATAGTTGTCCCAGAATCTAAGCCGTGATTATTTAGGGCTTTGTTTGATCACCAAAGAGCAGCTGATATAACATACTATAGCATGTGTTTTGTCAAATCGTTTAACAAGAACTAAGAGGCTTTGTTTTTGCTCGTACATGGGGAAGTTGTAATAACTCTTCGCATATCATTTATAAATGTCAAAATAATAAGAATCTACACTTGGGGACCGAGAACATGACGTTTTAGTAGGTGAAACAGCTGCTGTGCTAAGTTTTTGAGAAAAAAACGAGGAAATGTTGCATAGAAGATGATTTAGATCACAAATCCTTTTTGTGTCAGTTCATTGGTCATAATAAATACGAAAACTGTGTATCGATACATTATTTTGTTCCTCAATCCACGCTGTCTCTGGGATCATATTTTGGGAGGAAATTATTTTATTTTCACCATTTAAAGACTTGTAAGTCTTTTCAAATTTGAACCTGTTGTTATTACGTGGTCTTCCTGAGATGTGCTGGTGTCAGTTACAAACCGCTGATTTTTACTTCCGTCGTATACATACCACACTTCTACCCATTTGCCACTCTGTAAAAGTAAGAAAAAAGCAATATTTGGAAAAGAATTGGCAACAAATTTGGTAAGTTTTAACTGTGACAATTACGAAAGTACTTGAATCGATATAAATGAACCTGTATCAATGAATCGATGAATTCGGTATCGATGAACCTGGATTCGATATCAAGAAACAGATTTGGTAACAAGGTATCTGGATTCGGTAGCACGGTTTTTCAGGTATATTAGCTAGTATATTTATACAATCCATAATGGCATTATAGTGATTGGAAGATTTTATGAAAGTCGTAAAACAAAATGGCTATATACTGTGTGTCGTTAAATCTTTGTTATTTTTAAATCAATTTTCTTCGCCAATTCGGAAAGTATGTGTTTTATTTTCATTGCATCAGATTCGATAGCGGAAACGCTGTTTTGGTTTAGGATTTATTTGTTTGTACATTCTCCAGGATCATCATCCGTTCACTCGTATAATTGAACACATACCTTTCGGCTCCTGTGTTCATGTTCAATAATCTTTAGAAATAACAACAGTAAGAGTTTAAGAACCTAAAGATTGCTGACCACGAATTTTGAAATAATTCAAATTAAATCCTAGAGTGTATATTTTCGTGCACGAAAGCAAAAGTCGTTAGATGTGCACTAAAAACAGGATTTGAAATACAAATGTGCAGCAACCACAGCTGTTTCAGATTTGAATTCTCCATAGTCATTTTAGTATATCCATTTATATTTTGGAGGATTTTTGTCCCTGGAAGAACGATTAGAGCGACTGACAACATATTATGTTAAAGAGTTGAAATTGTATATGTTATGTAGCTAAACGAGACAGAACGATCCAATCTATTGGACAAACCAGTCTTTTAGAACACTGTCCAAGGCATATTAGGTAAATAAAGACGCCTGTATGAATGAAAAAAATGAGTCGCTATTCATTATAGTGTTATAGTGAATTGACATATCCCGCGACTTACCCAAGCTGTCAAGTTTTACTTACACTAATATCCGATTTCAGGATACGAGTTTCTCCGTCATCCATCACTAATTTATGGTTCAATCTGCTGGTCACTTTGTTCAATTCAATCTGAATTGATGGGTTACAATCTGAGTCGAGGCATTGGTTCGACTCAGATCCAGTGTTTAGCAGGCAATTAGTAATGATTGTTTCCGGTCCATCTGAGATTCCCGGAACTGGCCTCATCCAGAAGTGGATGGCAATCTCCTTGCCGTAGTAGGTGTTGGCCAAACTGTAAATGTTGATAAAGGAACTGCCGTTGAAATGAGCATAAGGCCCACCTTCAGGACTTGGATTAAGATTCATCAGGGTCACTCTTGAGACAGCCTTTTCGTTGTTGACGCCAGATTCATCCATAAAGTTGCCATCAAATTGCATATGGATTGTTGGCTCGCATTCTTTGTAGAATATCAGAATTTTCATGTTATTTTCAAATTAAAATTAGATTCTTTCTAATAATGTGGGTATAATATCAGTTTAATCGACTTAACACAAAGATCGTTGTGTCTTTACATTATTAGGCGACAAGATGTACTTTGTACTTTAAGCTCAGTATAGCTGAGCTGCCCAACTGATTAAAGTTATATACATCATATCTTTAATAAAATATTTAGAAAATCCATGTTTATAGATCCCTAAACTCAGATATACCACATATGGTTTGTGAAAAGTTTTTTGCAAGTCATGTTCTGCGAAGAATTGGAGCTGTATCAGACAAAATTTGCATTCAAACGTCCTGGAGAGATTTTTAGATGGTAATTCTATTGGAAGTTACTTTACATTCTATTGGAAGTGACTTTACATTCCATTGGAAGTGACTACATTATATTGGAAGTGACTTTACATTCTATTGGAAGTGACTTTACATTCCATTTAAAATGACTACATTCTATTGGAAGTGACTACATTCTATTGCATTCTATTGCAAGTGACATTACATTCTATTGGAAGTTACTTTACATTCTATTGGAAGTGACTTTACATTCTATTGGAAGTGACTTTACATTCTATTGCATTCTATTGCAAGTGACTTTACATTTTATTGCAAGTGACTTTACATTCTATTGGAAATGACTTTACATTCTATTGGAAGTGACTTTACATTCTATTGGAAGTGACTTTACATTCTATTGGAAGTGACTTTACATTCTATTGGAAGTGACTTTACATTCCATTGGAAATGACTACATTCTATTGGAAGTGACTACATTCTATTGCATTCTATTGCAAGTGACTTTACATTTTATTACAAGTGACATTACATTCTATTGGAAGTGACTTTACATTCTATTGGAAGTTACTTTACATTCTATTGGAAGTGACTACATTCTATTGGAAGTGACTTTACATTCTATTGGAAGTGACTTTACATTCTATTGCATTCTATTGCAAGTGACTTTACATTTTATTGCAAGTGACTTTACATTCTATTGGAAGTGACTTTACATTCTATTGGAAGTGACTTTACATTCTATTGGAAGTGACTTTACATTCCATTGGAAATGACTACATTCTATTGGAAATGACTACATTCTATTGCATTCTATTGCAAGTGACTTTACATTTTATTGCAAGTGACATTACATTCTATTGGAAGTGACTTTACATTCTATTGGAAGTTACTTTACATTCTATTGGAAGTGACTTTACATTCTATTGGAAGTGACTTTACATTCTATTGGAAGTGACTTTACATTCTATTGGAAGTGACTTTACATTCTATTGGAAGTGACTTTACATTCTATTGGAAGTGACTTTACATTCCATTGGAAATGACTACATTCTATTGGAAGTGACTACATTCTATTGCATTCTATTGCAAGTGACTTTACATTTTATTGCAAGTGACATTACATTCTATTGGAAGTGACTTTACATTCTATTGGAAGTTACTTTACATTCTATTGGAAGTGACTACATTCTATTGGAAGTGACTTTACATTCTATT